ACAGTATCCTTCTGTAAATACTATTTTTCTTCCCACTAGGCTCCATGGCAAAAACATTTTAATTGAATTTGTGTATCAGTTGTTAAGCTGCTTGGTGATATTTTATACCCTTAGTTAAAAAAATTAGACTGAAATGAAAAAGCTGAGTACATGCTTGCATAGCTTTAAGTCTGTCCTCTTTGAAGAAAAGATATATCATGTTGCCTGCTCTGCCTTTGAATTATGCTTTATAAAAGCTGTTCAAATGTTCTTTGTGTTCATGTGTTAGACAGGAGAAACTCCATGCTTCCTAAGTCCTTCCCCTTTAGGTATTTGATGTCATCTCATGCTTTTCTTTTTTGTTCTTCCATAACTGGCAGGCTGCACCACTTCTCACCTCATTTATTCTGCTTCCTAATAAAAACAAAAAACAACAACAACCAAACAAGAAACCCCCCTGACCCTGTGCTCCAAAATGAACACACAGCTGTTGATGCAAGCTACAGTGTACTTCTGGGATTTGGTGCCTTTCGACACCAACTGTGGTTGTAGGAGCAGAGTGAAGGCTGCATACATCCTGCTTTCTGATTTTCAGAAGTCTTTTTGAACTCTTGTGGAAAGGTATAAGATATTACTGGGCAACTGTAACTTAGGATATGGTTTCCCAGTAGCATCAGCCAGTCTAGGTTGGGACTACTTTGTTGTGGGATCTAGTTTAGCTATATACCCATCCTGCTTTTGCTGAATTAGTTTTCAGCTGTATCATTTTTCTGAACAAGTTTATTGTCTGGTTTTGTAACTGCCTCTGCCAACACAAGGAAGAGGAATGTATTAGTGGCTGGGAGCGGACTGTACTGTAGCAGCTGTTGGCTTGCAGTGCTGTGGGGCAGCACACTTAGTGTTAAGTTATGTCTTTAATGTTTTCTTTCAAACAGCAATAGTGATTAGCTCATGCAAGTGATCTAATTGTCAAGGTTGGAGGCAACCTGGGATGCAGTGATCATACATTGGTGGTGTTCACAGCCCTGAGAGGTATGGGTCAGGTGAAGAGTAAAGTCAGGACTCTGAATTTTAGGAAAGGAGACTTCCAGCTCTTCAGGGAGTCAGTCAATAGGATCCCCTGGGAAACTGCCCTCAGGGACAAGGGAGCAGAACAGAGCTGGCAGATCTTTAAGAATGCTTTCCAGGGAGCACAAGAGCTCTTGATCCCCACATGTAAGAAATTGGGAAAGGAAGGCATGGATGAGTTGAGACCCACTGGTCAAACTGAAGGACAAGAGGGACATGCACAAGTGGTGGGCGCAGGGACAGATATCCTGGCAAGGGACAGTGCCCAGTTGTGGAGGGATGGGGGTAGGAGGGCCAAAGTGCTACTGGAGCTGAACTTGGCAAGGGATGAGAAGAATAATAAGAAGGTCTTCCACAGGTATGTCAGCCAGTAAAGGAGGGTCAAAGAAAGTGTATCCCCCTTGATGAGCAAGGCTGGCAGACAGTTACATGGTAACAACAGATGTGGAGAAGGCTGAGGTACTCAACGACTACTGTGCCTCAGTCTTCACTGGCAGTCTCTTTTCCCACACCTCTTGAGGGAATGGACTGCGAGACGGGGACTGGAGGCGCAAAGTCCACCCCACTGTAAGAGAAGATCATATTCGAGACCACCTGAGGAACATGAACATACACCAGTCTGTGGGACCTGTCGAGAGGCATCCCAGAGTCCTGGGGGAATTGGCTGATGTCCTGGCAGTCAGGTGAAGTCCCTGGAGACTGGAAAGAGGGTAACATTGCACCCATTTTTAAAAAAGGTAGCAAGGAGGACCCTGGGA